ATCTACCGACGCAATATGAGGGTAGAAAAATTGGATTACTCAGGAGTTTACTGAATATCATGCGGCGCCTGCGAACGGAAAAATATTGGCAAAACTGGGAAAAAATCAGCAAACGAATTAAGGAACGTCAAAAGGAAGAATTAGGAGTCTATTGAGATCCTTGGGGTAAAAAATTTAATGAACATGAAATTAGGAGAGGCAAAGTTAGTGATAACTTTACCTCTTGCATAATCAAACTCAGAGGAAACATGGATGCAACAAGACAAGCAAAAAGGTGATACCTGGATCAAGGATCAATCGTAAACCAAAGGAAGAGGGATCGTAAGGAAGAAGATGGTGAAGAAGCTTCGGAAATGAAGCGAAGACGATCTCAGTGAGTCTAGTCAGCTTGAATAAACAACTACAACTTTCGGGGCTCGACCTTTTACGTAAGTAGAGAGGGGATTGGGTCACAGAAATTGGGCATTATGACCAAATCGACTAATAATCCACTTAAGATACAGCATACGACCAGAAATAGATGTCCACAGTTTGCTAAAGATACACGAGTTTAATCTAGAAGATGATGCCTAATATCCGCATGCATGGGAATCAGAGCCTAGGCGCCCTGTATATGAGGCGAATTTGTACGTGCTACTGAGGGCTTAAGAAATAGCACCTGAAGTAAAAGTACACTGAGGCTAGAACCGAGTGAAATCGGTCAACCAGAAAGATAGGAAACGGACCTAAGGGCCCATGAGGCAGATGCGGACAGGAGGTTAGAGTCGGATCAGCCACTCTAAAGGAGGATGAGTAAGACAAACAGCAGGTGTGATGACGCCACGGAAAATTCACCAAAAGGGCACATCTCTTGTGGAATATAAAAATTTCAGAAGTTGTGATAAGAAGAGGACGAGACAAGAGAACCAATTAGATTTCTTCACCGTCTGCACATCCAAAGCGGTGCATTTATGTAGGTTCAAAACCTGATATTTGTCATTCTTTCCAATAAAGAGGACGAAATTAGTAAGCTATAACCAGATATTTAGGTTAAAAAGTGAGCAACACTAAATAAAAAGTTAAACACGACACGAGCTGGCATTAAAGATGCAAAATACTCAATATGACAAAACATCTAAGTCGAAAAGATTTAATATTCACCTTAATGTGCCCATCTATTGAGTTAATGAAACTGGTTTATGACTCAGTTCTTCCACGAAGTGAGCAACGTCATGAAGTGCCCCTTCTGAATCATCTTTGTGCATCAAGAGGAAGCCTTGGATTTGAGCAGAGCTGACCGAGTTTGGTGGAATCTTAAGGGAAAAATTCCAAGCTAGAGGATGTAGAGGTGCTGGTTGACTGGCTTCGATGGACGTTTTGTGCACACGAATTGGGTAAAAATGTGAGAATAGACGAGCGATTTGATCGTGGGTACAAAGGCCGAACTCAACACGCATGTCCACTCTACCAGGTCTGATTAAAGCTTGATCAAGGCTAAAATATCGACAAAAGAAAAAAGAAACATTATGTGCCTATTGTCTCTACTAATAAGGGAAAGATTTGGCGGAAATAGCATGAATGTTTAAATCGATCAACTATTCCGTTTGCATACGAAAATTCTACCCACAAATTTAATAAGTAATAAGTAAACTTGGAATCCCACGGGATGATAGTAATACAATGTAATAGTGATGATAGTATCAGTGTAGAAAAAATATATCCGAAAAAACGTGGCGCTTTCACTAGAT